CTAAAAGTCAACATGGGTTTCTCAAAAACAAGTCATACCAGAATAATCCAACCAAACTCAAAGGGTGCTCAGCAATCGTTTCTCTTCAGAGTGTCCCCTGCAGTCTATCATGTGTGCATCCACAACAAAAATGGGGATAAGTTCAAATACTTTCCCTCATCTCAGCTGAAAGAATGGAAAGGTGGTCCAGTTCCTGTAAAGTCTGTGACAGAGATCTGGCCAGATTTGCCTTTAACTGATTTGTCTGAAACAGTTTTGTTCTCCCACGGTGGGTGAAGCAATTTTCAAATTTAGTCTGCCTCTCTGTTTCCCTACAGAGACAAGAGATGGTTGGACACCTGTATAGGTGGTTGATCTGGACTATTGGATGCAGAATCATAATGGCTATTTTGCCTACATACCCAACACATTTTAACACCAGTTGGGAATACAACATTTAAGCTGAGTGCCATTGGGCATCCCCTTATCCTGGGATTTATGAGGTTTTAGAATCTATGGAAGAAGCTCATGAATGGTATAATAAAAAAGTTACCCTTAAAGTAGCCAGAAGAATTATATCTGCAGAAAAGACCATTTCATCAAGGGTAATTATGAATGGACCCGGAGGACATAAATGGGTGGATGCATATGTGGCATGCCTTCAATTGAAGACTGGAGTATGGAACCAGAATTGCTTCACCCCCAGATATGGTGGCTACTGTTATTGGAACCATCAGCATTGTCATTTGGATAGTTAGAAAGGTGGCAGAATTTGAAGCCATCTGCAGAGAAGCTTATCTTCCCTGCAGAAATTCTGTTCCACTGCTTGCTCCTCCCCCTTGACCAACAATTCTTTTACTTAACTGGTAAAGGAGGACAGAAGAATTTACTATTTCCCCTGCCTGTGGATTAAAATGTCATCCTCAGTGGCAGTACTCTGTTCAGAAGTCAGTTTGGCTCCATGCTTTGGAGCCATTGCTCAACTGATTGACATGCCCTTAGAATGGTGTGCATATCTGCACTAAAGTGATGCCACCAAGGCTAACAGACTAGTCAATCCCTTCACATGGTTAACCACCCGGGTTATTTTTTGGCTATTTTTCTTGAGGAACCTATTGCTATCAACAATGTTTTAACTTAGGACCTTATCACACGGGGTCTAAAGTAGTGCCATCCCCGTCCCATCCCCATCCTATCACGCTTCCTTTTACAGATTCCCCTTTTGCGGGAAATGCAATTCCCAGTCTGAACCGAAATTAAAAAGAACGGGGATAATTTTGGATGATGCACATGGATCTGCATTGGGACGGGGATGGCACGGGGATGGCACGGGGATGGCAGGGAGATGGGTGCAACGTCGTGTGATCAGCTGGGGGGAGGAAGCGCGATAGGACTGGGATGGGACGGGGATGGGCGGGCTTACCTTGCGACGTCATGTGATCAGCTGGGGGAGGAAGCGCAATAGGACTGGAAAGGGACGGGGATGGGCAGGGTTAACTTGCGACGTCGTGTGATCAGCGGTGGCAGGAAGCGCAATAGGACCAGGAAGTGACGGGGATGGCACCGCTTCAGACCCCTGTGTGATAAGGTCCTTAGAGTGAGTAAAATTAGATTTACACCTAGATGGATTCAGGCAATCATGGACTATAAGAATATGTAGTTAGTTTTTGTAAATAAGTTGTATTTTGGTTGTTTTGGGGCAATTTAGGACAGCTTTTGGACTAATTTGAATATTTTCCCATAATTCTCGGTGTGATCAAGAAGCAGAGGCCAGCCAAAATTAGCACTGCCAAATTTCTTAAGGATACATTGCTCTCATCACTTACCTGAGAATTGTACTAACAGTAAGTTTGTTTGTTTTAATCACATGCAATAAGGATGGAAAAAGGATGGGAAAAGGAC